TTTAGATCATGTGCAGTAGTGGAATAAGAAAATAAACATCCTTTTTTAAAAAATTGTATTAATTTGTTAACTTTAATTGAACTAAAAAGTTATAAACAATTAAAATTTTTAAAATCCGACTCGAGGGATGTCTAAAGAATTTATTCCCCTTAAATTTAAATTAAAGAACACTCAAATCGTTCAAAAATTGTAGGCTGCAGACATTTTTGAACAGTAAATTGTAAAAAAATCCCACTGCGTCCCGGGACGACGTTTAGGCCTGTCACGCATGGCGCGTGGCGCGCTCAGAGAAAAACCTGAATAACTTTTTACCTAATTAAGAATACTCACTTTTCTTTTTTTTAATTATTCGTGATTAAATAAGGAGTAATATTCAATAAAAAAGTTTTTTAAAATGTTGAAAGAACATGAAAATATTTTTAATTGTTTAAATAAATATTGTTTATAATTTTCACAATTTTTAAAATCGTATATACCCAGTGGGCACTGGGACGTCTAAAAGACGTCCCTTTTTGTCCGCGGACGATTCAGGGACAATGATGGCAATGTCTCTGAGTCATCAAAAAGACAACTAAAAGACGTCTAAAAGACATAAGAAAGGACGTCTAAAGTACGTCTAAAAGACGTCTTTTGGACGTCCTTTTTACATTCCTTCAGATCTTAAATAAACATTTCTTTTATAACATTTTTTAAGTTGAAATTCAGTAATATTGTATTAAATTTATTTTAAGTTTAATTTTATTTTTTCTAAAATGTGGAGAAATAATGAAAAAATTCCTACGAAGCTGGGATCGAACTCGGGTACCTTGGGCTTGAAGCACTGCGCCTTAAGCACCTCAGCCGTTCAAGACAGATATGAACCTCTACAAAGTTAACGATCTCACTTGTCAATGAAATGAATTTAACTTAGAAAAATTCCAATGAATTTCACATTCATAAATTTCTAAGTCCAAGTTGAACTTAGAAAATAATATTTTCTATTTATGGAAATTTTTCTGTTTTCAAATGTTGAATGAAAAAGACGTCTTTTAGACAGCTTAAAGACATCTAATGGCCAAGACATATAGAACATGAATAGGACGTCTTTAAGACGTCTTAAAGACGTCTTTTTGTACTAGTCCAAAAGACGTCCGCAAAAAGACATCCTTAGGACGTCTTTTGAACAAGTGTGCCCACTGGGTAATGACAAATATTTATCAAAAGTAGTATTATTCCTTATTATCCATTTCAAAACTTAAATAGATTCCTTTTATAGAACGATAGATAATTAATAATTTCGAAATTTATACAAAAAAATATTATTAACAATAACTATTGTAAAAATTAAAATTTCGAAAAACTGTTCAACTTGTATTTTTGTTATATCGTATAGAGTAGAAAAAAGTTAAAATCATAGAAAATACTCACCTATCTAAAAATGATGGGTCACTTCACAAATGTTGACACTATTACAAGCTGTAATTTTTGAAAAATTACAATGTTAAAGAGAATGCCCCATATACATATACATATACTCAAGTATAAAATCGTCTACGAGTGCAACAGTAACGCTTCTGTATGTAATTTGCTTGAATCTCACTCGCACTCATGCTTACTACTAATTCATAGTTTCTCTCTCTCTATCTCGGCTCACTGGTCACTCAATAGACTGCCTACTGGTTAAAAGAAACCCTTCAAACAATAGGCCAGGTACTCGAGCAGACCTTTCATTTCTCTTTAAATTATATATATATATATATATCTTTCAAATATCTTTCTGTCTCCTTCTTTCTAGATACTAAATATCTTTATCGGTCTCTGTTTATAACGCAGAAAATCTAACGCTATTGCTTTCTTCCTCTTTCGAAAGTAAATAACATTAGAATGTCTCTCTTTACCTAATTTGCATATCTACTGATTTCATATAAGGATAAATGCATGCTACAGTGGGTATTCTGTTGCTTATTTATAAATATTTATAAACGTAATTAAATTAAAGAATCAGTCCTAACATAATAAGTGTTTTTTTAAATGGGCAGAAAAAAAATTAATTAATTAATTTAAAAAATTCTAATCTAATTTTATCCAATTCAAAAGTTTTAAATGTTAAATTTCCAAGAAAATAAAGTTTTTATATAACTGAATTAAGTATTGCTGCTTAAATAAAATTTGTTTTTATTACTTCTAAATTATTTATTTCATACATAATTCTCTGCAAATATTTTTTATTTAATAATATAAATAAAGATATTTATTTTAATTAAGGAAGATTTCGACTTTATCAGCAATTAGTGACATCTATTAGACGTCGATTGAACTCTTTGGTTTAGAGTCAGGTGTTATTCTTAAGATAATTATTCCGATATGGTTGTCGGTATATAATTATATTTTTTGAATTAAATTTTTTTTTGAAAAAATAAGCTGCGTGAACGACTGCACTGTGCATCTGTTTCAGATCAAAAATTAAATTCAAAAAATATAATTATATACCGACAACCATATCGGAATAATTATCTTAAGAATAACACCTGACTCTAAACCAAATAGTTCAATCGACGTCTAATAGATGTCACTAATTGCTGATATAGTCGAAATCTTCCTTAATTAAAATTCTTAATCAGCAAATAATTTCCTACATTAAAGATATTTATTATGAAAAATTAATTATTTAAATGTAATATTATTTTTTAATTAATTAATTATTTTCTTTTGTGTAAACTGTTATATTTCAATGCATTTTTGGGTCCCCAAAACAGTGGCGCCTCTACCATTGTGGAATATTTATAGGTCCACGAGTTTCATAGAAGACAGACGGGTCTGCTGAAAATGAAAGGGCCTAACCAGTTTCCCATATTTTTCCCTGCTAGAAACTAACTAAACTGAGACTTCATGTAAGAAAAATTAGGGGAATTTCTACCGCTTGTTCTTTTTTTGATTAATTTTCTTAAAAATAAGTTGACTAATATTTAAAAATAAAAATAAGTTTTCTCAAAAACGGATGAGATTTTTCTTTTTTTGGCTCAAAATAATCGAGAGACATCGCAGAAACAAATTCATAAAAAAACAGAAAGTTCAATCTTGGTTGGGTAGAACTCAATTCAAACCCATCCATCATGGAATCTAATTTAGAAAGTAGATTTGTTTTGTTTATAAGTTTTTAACTATTTTATTTACTTTTTTAAACTAGCTATGAAAAATGTATTTATCAAAGGCCGTAGCAGTATAAGCATGTAAAAATGGCCCCCTCTTGGATTGGGTCCATATTTAGGGAATAATTTTGACCTATTATGAGACTTATTTTCACCAAGTTTCAATTCGAAAAAAAATTTTGTTTTTGAGTTATACAATTTTTTTTAAAAATTCAAAAAAATTCAAAAATTTTTTTTCCCTCCGAAATGGTTGAACCGATTTTCATGAAAAAAATTTTTTTGTACAATACAATATGAAAAGTTATTAAAAAAAAATTTTTCGACCAAATTCTAACAAAGAAAGGCAGTAAAAAAAAATTTTTTTTAAATTTTTTTTAAAAAAACATTTTTTTTTATTGAAATTTTTTTTGCACAACCGCCATTTTTTTCTATAAAATAATAGTCATTTCAAGAGTAACATATATTTTTTGCAAGATGATTGAAAGGGTACTTCACACTTTAAAAAAAAAACCGATTTTTGGCCCCTAAATAGTACAGTTTTCTATATAAACGAGGGGTCAACATTTTTTAAAATTACATTAAAATTAATTAAATTAAATTTCTAAAAAAGTTAATAATATATGCCTGTTTATTGTAAATATTGATTTTTTTTAGTATGTACAAGGTTTATTAAAAAAGTAAATGGACGTACACTACCGTCGGGAATTACCGGTACGGCTGCACGCGCACGCCCCAAAAACATGTCAATCACTGAGAAAACGATTTATTTGATTCAAAAAAATTTTGTTTAAATCAAACTTAAAATATCTTTGCTATACAGTCAAACAAATTTAAGTTTAATTCAAACATATTTTTTGGTTCATTTATAGAATTAATATATTCAATTCAAACAAAATTTAAGGTTGATTTTAAATTATTTCTAATCAACTTTTAAGTTTAAATTAAACATAACATTTTTAAACATATTCTTTGTTTAAACCAAAACAGAAAATATATTTGAATTAAACACAATTATTGAAACAAATATTATTTTTGAATCAAAGCAGTAGATATTTTCTATATATATTGGGATCTCACGAACCGATTAAGATTTTTAAACTCTTATGGTCTTAAGTTAAAGATAAAACTTAAACCTATGTAAATTTCAAATTTTTTCTACAATTATTAAAAAATATGCTAAAGTTGAAAAACTTCAAAAATATATTTTTTTTTTTGTAAATTTTTTTGAAAAGTTGACTAAAAAATCAATATTTACAATAAACAGGCATATATTAATTACTTTTTTAGAAATTTAATTTAATTAATTTTTAATGTAATTTTAAATAATGTTGACCCCTCGTTTATATAGAAAACTGTACTATTTAGGGGACAAAAATCGGTTTTTTATTTTTTAAAGTATGAAGTACCCTTTCAATCATCTTGCAAAAAATATATGTTACTCTTGAAATGACTATTATTTTATAGAAAAAAATGGCGGTTGTGCAAAAAAAATTAAAAAAAAATTTTTTTTTACTGACTTTTTACTGACTTTCTTTGTTAGAATTTGGTCGAAAAATTTTTTTTTATTAACTTTTCATATTGTATTCTACAAAAAAAATTTTTTCATGAAAATCAGTTAAACCATTTCGGAGGGAAAAAAAATTTTTGAATTTTTTTGAATTTTTCAAAAAATTGTATAACTCAAAAACAAATTTTTTTTTCGAGTTGAAACTTGGTGAAAATAAGTCTCATAATAGGTCAAAATTATTCCCTAAATATGGACCCAATCCAAGAGGGGGCCATTTTTACATGCTTATACTGCTACGGCCTTTGTTTGTATGTAAGAATAAAGTACTGAATCTTAAATATTGAAAATAATATTAAATGTTTCAGATAGTTAACAACAAAGATATATCTTCAGGATCGGAAAATACACCTAATTTATCTACATCTGCAAATTTTCAAGGTAATTAAATAGTTTGATATAAGATAACATTTTGTATAAACTATTTGTTCAAATAGTCTATTCAAAATGTTATCTACTATGAAACTTGCTTTAAACTTTTCATGTAAACTTGCTGCATATATTTTTAGAAGACTTCCTAAAAATCTAAATCTTTTAAATAATAAATTTATTATAACTTTATTTATTAAACCTTCTGCAGTTAACTTAACTGTCATAAGTCGGTACCAAAACATGAACATGCATAGAAAATTTTATAACTCAACATGCTTTAATAGTTGGTTGGCTCTCTGATTACGAATTCAGTATTCATTTTTGAAAATTCAAAATGACGGATCTTATATGGCGGACTATTTAAAAAAAAATAACTTCATCAGATTCAATAAAAAATCGTTACGCGGGAGTTTTCCCTCCAATCGTAATGGACAAACATTTTAAATAAGTTACTAAATTAAAATATGAACATTTATAATAATAATAAACGACATTATTATTACTTTGAAACAACTCATTTTAATTATTATAATATTATTAGATTCCTTATTCTAATTTTGTACGAAATAAAAAAGAATTATGTCAATAAATGTTATAATATTTTTATACAAAGCTAGTGTTTAAGAACAATAGTTTAGTTTATTTCCTTTATGTAAATTCAGTTGCCTAAATTAATTTTTAAACTAATATAGTTTTTTCAGTGAAGGCATAACTGTTACTTAATCTTAAAAATTAGTAAATAATAATAATAAAAATAATAATAATAATAATGAATTGCAAGAATTTTGATCCATGGAAGGTAAAAATAATATAAAAAAATAAATTTATGTCATATTTTTTGTTTATTTAAAAACAGCAACGTTTCGATGACGTGGGTTTGTCATCCTCTTCAGGCTAATTAAAACAATACACCAATTAAAAAAAATAATAAAAAATAAAAGTTAACATACACTATAATTTTTATAAACAATTTTTAAAAAAATTACCTAGTAAAAAATTAAAATAAGTTAAAAAGTTACATAGTAACTAGTCAGATGGTATAAATATGTACATTTCACGACGAGCGAATTATCAAAACTAAACGAAAATACAAATTAAAATACCTAAGGCATTGTCGTTGAAGTCAATGAACTCAAGTGTAAACAATACAGTGTATATCAAAGCTAGGTCATGATTTCAATTTTCTTATTATAGGAAAATAAGATGTATTTAAATATAAAATGCCATTTTTCTTGTTGATTGAGTGTTTGTTACTTTTTATGTGTAACATTTCTGAAAAACAACGTTTTTTGTAATTAGATTCACGGTCAAGAATAATAGTATTGTCCCAATCGAATTCATGACCCGGCCTTGACTGATGTGCACTCACAACGGATGTATTAGAATTATTACTTCTCTTATGTTCGTCAATGCGGGTTTTTAACATACGTTTCGTTTCACCTACATAACATACTGAACAATTTTTACAATTAAATTTATAGACAACATTTGTTTCAGACCACTTTTCGGTTTTGTCTTTTCCTAATTTTACAATTGATTTTAAATTTTTGTTGACAATTGGAATAGTTTTTATGTTATAAGGTTTCAAAATATTAGACAAACCAGCAAAGTCAGAGTAGTTGAAAGGAATGCATATTTTTGGAATAAGTTTATATAAATAAGAATAAGGATTAACGGAATTTTTATTATTATTATTACGAAATTTGATACTATTTAATCTAATTTAAACATGTTTTTTAATGAAATCAAGAGGATAATCATTATTGAGGAGAATTTGTTTTAACTTTGCTAGGTTGGTATTATGAAACGACGAATGAGAGAGTAAAATTGCTCTATCCACTAAATTGTAAACAATATTCACCTTCTGCTGCACTGGATGACCTGAATAGTAATTAATTAACCTACCAGAAGAAATTGGTTTTTGGTACCAATTACAAATAATTTTTTGATTATTAATTTTTAATGTAACATCTAAAAAGTTAATTTTTTCATTATCTTGAGTTTCAAAAGTAAATTGAATGTTATTATTATAAGAATTAAAAGTGTCAATAATTAAGTTTAAATTGTCCTTATGGATGCATAAAATAGTGTCATCTTTATATCTATAGTAAAATAGTGGGATGCAATTATGTTTATTTTTTAAATTATGGAGGCAATCACTCTCCAAGTCATCCATTACAATGTCAGCGAAAAGCGAAGAGATCGGAGAACCCATAGGAGTGCCATCGAGTTGTTGGTAATATTCGTTGTTAAAAACAAAATATGTATTTTCAAAAAGGAAAGTGGTACAATTTAAAATATCATTAAAAGGTATTTTACAATTATTAATCGAAGACACTCTACGTTCAAGACTTTCTATAACTAATTTTAATGGTATTTTTGTAAAAAGAGAAGTAGCATCAAGTGAGATTAAAATATGGTCGTTGGGAACGACAACATTATCTAACTTTTTTATGAGGTCAAAACTGTTATTGATGTGAGACTTCGGTACAGGAATATTCTCTTTCAAATTATTCAACAAAACTTTTGCCAAAAAATGTGTAGGACTATTGATCAGAGAAGTTATAGGACGAAATGGGACGTCTTGTTTATGAATTTTAGGGAGTCCATAGAATTTTGGCAAAGTTGTGTCTGTCAATGTCAGTTGGTTATTATGGTATTTGTAATTCAAAAAATCGTTGTCATTTAAATTTTGGAGTATTTTTTTGGTCATAGTTTGAAGTTTGCTTAAAGGATTACAAGAGAGACGTTTATATGTAGAAGTATCAGAAAGCATGTCAGACATTTTTTTATAATAAGTCGATTTATGATGGCAAACAGTAGTATTTCCTTTGTCAGAATTAGTAATCATTATATCTGGATTTTGTTTAAGGAAATTATTTGCAGATTTTATTTTTTTAGCAAAAATTCTATCTTTTTTAAGAATGTGTGAAGATTTGTTTAAATTTGAGGAAAGATTTTGTGTTACTTTTTGACGAATATTATTTTTGATATCGTTATCAACATCCAAAATGTTAATTGTCGTTTCTATGTTCTTTAAAATATTTACAATTTCATATTTTGAACAAGTTTTTGATGAACTATAATTAGGACCCAAAGAAGCAACGTCGATTACATCTTTGGGTAAGTCTACATTTGTAAGATTAACAAACCATTTATTTTTATCTGATCGTTCGTAGTTCTTTTTATTATTTTTTAACATCAACCAATTAAATTTTTTGAAATATTTTTCTTTAAGTTTTTGACTCCCTAAAATTTATAAACAAGACGTCCCATTTCGTCCTATAACTTCTCTGATCAATAGTCCTACACATTTTTTGGCAAAAGTTTTGTTGAATAATTTGAAAGAGAATATTCCTGTACCGAAGTCTTACATCAATAACAGTTTTGACCTCATAAAAAAGTTAGATAATGTTGTCGTTCCCAACGACCATATTTTAATCTCACTTGATGCTACTTCTCTTTTTACAAAAATACCATTAAAATTAGTTATAGAAAGTCTTGAACGTAAAGTGTCTTCGATTAATAATTGTAAAATACCTTTTAATGATATTTTAAATTGTACCACTTTCCTTTTTGAAAATACATATTTTGTTTTTAACAACGAATATTACAAACAACTCGATGGCACTCCTATGGGTTCTCCGATCTCTTCGTTTTTCGCTGACATTGTAATGGATGACTTGGAGAGTGATTGCCTCCATAATTTAAAAAATAAACATAATTGCATCCCGCTATTTTACTATAGATATGAAGATGACACTATTTTATGCATCCATAAAGACAATTTAAACTTAATTATTGACACTTTTAATTCTTATAATAATAACATTCAATTTACTTTTGAAACTCAAGATAATGAAAAAATTAACTTTTTAGATGTTACATTAAAAATTAATAATCAAAAAATTATTTGTAATTGGTACCAAAAACCAATTTCTTCTGGTAGGTTAATTAATTACTATTCAGGTCATCCAGTGCAGCAGAAGGTGAATATTGTTTACAATTTAGTGGATAGAGCAATTTTACTCTCTCATTCGTCGTTTCATAATACCAACCTAGCAAAGTTAAAACAAATTCTCCTCAATAATGATTATCCTCTTGATTTCATTAAAAAACATGTTTAAATTAGATTAAATAGTATCAAATTTCGTAATAATAATAATAAAAATTCCGTTAATCCTTATTCTTATTTATATAAACTTATTCCAAAAATATGCATTCCTTTCAACTACTCTGACTTTGCTGGTTTGTCTAATATTTTGAAACCTTATAACATAAAAACTATTCCAATTGTCAACAAAAATTTAAAATCAATTGTAAAATTAGGAAAAGACAAAACCGAAAAGTGGTCTAAAACAAATGTTGTCTATAAATTTAATTGTAAAAATTGTTCAGTATGTTATGTAGGTGAAACGAAACGTATGTTAAAAACCCGCATTGACAAACATAAGAGAAGTAATAATTCTAATACATCCGTTGTGAGTGCACATCAGTCAAGGCCGGGTCATGAATTCGATTGGGACAATACTATTATTCTTGACCGTTTTTTAAAAATTGTTTATAAAAATTATAGTGTATGTTAACTTTTATTTTTTATTATTTTTTTTAATTGGTGTATTGTTTTAATTAGCCTGAAGAGGATGACAAACCCACGTCATCGAAACGTTGCTGTTTTTAAATAAACAAAAAATAAGACATAAATTTATTTTTTTATGTTATTTTTACCTTCCATGGATCAAAATTCTTGCAATTCATTAAAAACTTTCGGAAAGAAATCTACACTATTAATAAATAATAATAATAACTGACAATAGGGGAGTATAGTCGAGGTCGGCCCACATTTTGACTTTTGTTTATAACTTTTTTTAAAAATGAATTTGGTCAATTGAAGTATATTGTTGGAAAGTCCTGTTTAATAGGAACATTTTTTCTGTACAAAGTAAATTGATAGGTTTTAAAATAAAAAAGTTATAAAGATTTAAAAAAAAGATTTTATAGTCCAGGTT